CCCTACTCCTATAAAATAAAAAAATATACATATTTTCTTTTTACAAAATATTATATATTAAATTTACACAAAAATAATGTTCTCATATGGAAAATGTAAATATAATACTTTACTGTTTAGCTTAAAATCCATTAAAGCTGTCGACTAAGTGGATTAATTTTGACTTTTTCTCTCGTTTCGGAAAGCTAATAAAAAAGAACGCCAAAATAAAACCTCGAGCGACTCATGTAATCTAACATCACGTTATAAATGTCAGTCACGTTCATACAATTATGGACTTACGATGGTAACCGTTTTGTTAAACAAAATAACATAACATGATACTTATAGTCGAAGCTTTTAAAACCGTTCAATTCAGCTGAAACGACTTTCTGAAATTAATTTAAAATACTCTTCCTATTTCAAAAACAGATATAATTTTAGGAGATATAACACAGAAGTATATGTTTATTATATAAATTCAATTATAAAGGTAACGAAAGTTTAATAGTATTGCAACAAGGTATTGCAATTGTAAACAACATTTATGACGTGAAATACGAGCAATGTCGGTATCGGTGTTGGGGGCAGGTCGGAAGCTCTCGGCGTTTTGCTGAAGGCAGGCAGACGTCAGCGGGCCGTGAGTGACACGTCCTTCCGCTGCAATGTACTATACTGTGTATCCACCACTGCCCGCTCAGTGTCAATTGTTAAACCTTCGATCTGTGCTGAATATCAGACTTTAAAAACAAGAATTCAATTAGAACAACGAAACTACAATAAATTCAACTAATAGGTTATATATGCATAGCTGCATTTATTTAAACATGTAAAATGAAAGTCGTGTCACGAGTCCTACGCTCTAATAAATTTTGAGCCCGAATGCGACCCTAATCAGAAGGTAGAACACAAATAAACGGTGTATCAACTTGTAGGACATGTAAACACATTAAGGGTGTTGTATGAACGATGTCAAATCATGATCTATGTATTGGAAAAATTAAAAAGTCGCTGCCGGCGTAAATGAATGAGGTGATTTTCATTGTTTCGAGATCCCCGGGTGGCTGGACAGTGAAGGACGCGCTGCTTATCCGACGCCGCACCTTTTGTCGTAATTGTTAACGAGCGTTGACCCAATTTGGATACTGTCGACGGCGATCACAACGTCATCTTTCTTAAAATATTCGAAACGCTTCGGTACTAATTCATCCCGTGACAACATGTACTTATTGAAGGAACAAACAACTATGATATTAATTATCTACATGAACAATTAAATTGTTTTAAAACCAAATTATGAAACACTGCAATATTAAGAAATAGAAGTATGGTAAAAATCTTGTTATTTAATTAATGAAAACTTAGCAATTAGCATTCAAAAGTAGAGCAGAGCGAATTGTAAAAAAAACATGAGGAATTTGCGCCAGCACACAATAGAAGAGCTTGGTTATGCGCTCATTTACAACCAGCGCGATTAAAACGGCAAGTCGGTGCAAGGCCGATCGCCAGCGCGATAGGCCGCGGGGTCAAAAATAGCGGGGCGAGGGCCGTGCCTGGCGCCACCCCGCGCCGTGCTGGCGGCATCCACCACGAGGGGCGGCCGACCCAGCGTCGCCACGTCGCCACCACCGCCGCGCCGTCGCACCACCACCATTATGTCTCTACCGTTTTATACAACACCACTTCTTATATATATATATATATCTATTCGCTTTTAACCATTATTATAAGAATGCAATTTCACAAACGTTTCCCAAATCACAAGATCAAGAATATGGAGGCTAATATTTGTGGCTAAAATACACATGCATGTGTTAAAAAAGTTTCATCATAAAATGTTTCGATGCGACATAATAAAACTATAGGAGTTTCACAAAGGTCAAAAATTAAAAGAAGCAGAAGTTATATTAATTTTTACATAATTTCTAGATAGTTTACATTTCTTCGGGCATTGCCGTCGCTCCGTGTTAAGAGACGCCTTGTCAAGAGTCGAGTGATATTCGCTCTACCCACTGCCTAATGATTTTGAAGAAAAATAAGCGTACAATAATTCCCAAGATAATGCGTTGTTAAAGTGGTAAATTACATTAATTATTGAATAAACGATGTTTAAGTGAGGGTGGATATTAGTGAAACTTTCGTTCTCGAAGGTCCTCATCAATATGTCAATTAGGGTTCACAATTATCGAAGCAGCACAGGTGTCCAGGCCGAGCCGTTTGCTAGCCCATTAAGCAAATAACGAGTCCGCAAGATAAACTTGGAGGCAGTAAAGTTTATTAATGGCTCGATTACAAGCTCGACCCGAGGTGCAAAGAAGTGCTATCAATCAGTCAGGTGCGCGACGGAAACGGTACCCACTCCCTCTGTAACGCTAATAACAAAATTCCGACGCCCCTGTTTGTTTCTCCAGAAAGGGGTGAAGATGAATATCCTAAAGCATTGCCATCGGTTACTTGTTTTCGTCCCAAAAATAATTAAATCCTTACTATAAGAAAATCTGGACACAGAGCGAACGTTTTAATTCTTGATTTAAATTAACTTTGCCAAGTATTCTTATAGTTGAACGCACTGATCTTAAAAGAAGTTATTTAAATGATTGGAATCGTAAATCTGACGCGAAGTCATAAAGAAATCTCATTTTGATTAAAAATCCATTATCTGACCAAAGCTCTCAGAAGTCGTGACTTTAATGGGTTGAAGAAAGCGAGTAAACGTAGACAGGCGATCGGATATCATTATAACAGATTAGCGAACAAAGAGTAGAGGTAGAGTGGAGAGAGAGTAGGCAAGTGCGGAGGCAGCGAAGCGCGGCTCGCCGTTGTCCGAATGGCTCAATTACAGTTAATTCGCAGCGCACACACGAAAGCGAAGTGCATGCATGTGCGCCGTACACATTAATGTATGTAAATGCATGCGACCGGCCGCGGCCTCCCGTCGACGTTCGCAATATTGCGACAATAAACGGAATATGGCTGACGAGACAGACATTTTCGACAAAAGTCGCCATTTGCAAACGATTAGCCATCTTTATTTATACTTTTCATGTTTTCTTTTAAGGAGTAGACGGGACTCTACGGGGATATCTATGATAAATAAACATAGGAACGATGTGAAGACACAATTGACTCTTAGTTAATCTAAATTTTGATATGAGTGTGGTAGAATATATTTAGCACCAAGTTTTCCTAACTTAAAATGTTCTCTACATCAACTTATACTAGGACGGTAATCCATATGCTATTTGATTAAGTAGTTAATTTGTTATCTATAAATTCCAATACTGTATGCGACATCGCGAAGGGAATCATCGTTACGATTTAGAAATTCATTCATTAGTCAATTTTGGTAGACCAAAACATAGCAATAGGTCACTGAAAAGCCAATGATCATTTTTGGATATTAAAATTAATTTTAAAACACAGTTGTGTTGTCAATTTAATTTAAGGTTTATGCATATTCATGTTCATGTTTAACTAGACAGCCGTTTGACAACTCATATAGAAACCGTGCGTAAGAAAACTGTGACGTGTCAAAAAGACGACCTCTCTTTTATCTTAAAAAAAAAAATTGGCGCCAATTATTTTAAGAATCGCCATCGCATCGCAAGTCAATTGATGTTTTATTAAACTATGGAGAAGAAACGAAAATTCTTTGATTCGTTGCATTCTAACAAAGATTCTAACCTGGAGTGTGAAGTACCCTTCTAAAAAAAATAATTTCATCCTTATCATTATATTTAAAAAGAATAGAGATAGCGCTATGCTTTTGTTCGCATATTATAGTAATCTCACTGATATTTGTAATAATCCTTGATAATCATAGAAATTCATCTGAAAACACGTTCAAAAAAAATCTAGTGACTTTGTTCAAACTGAAGCTTTCGGCACCGGCATCCTGAGGCTTTAACAGCAACACTAATTAGGTTTTACTAGAATGAAATAAAGCATTTTTGCAGAACTGGAGAGATGACGAAGATACTCATTAAAGGCGCCTGATTTTAACATACGCGCTAATGTAAAGATTTACATCACAACTAGGATTAGTTCTAAAGGATTGATTATGGTGAGATCCTTCCCAATCATCATGTTCAATCAGACTTCTTAAACCTTCGTTGGATTTAAATTGTGTGTGTAAAAAAATCCTGTATGCCAATTCATATAAAATATTTCTTTTATTTATTGCGAAGCAGAAAAGGTACATATGAAGATTTTAGATAAAGACTATTTATAGACTTAATAACAACTAAATAAATAAATTATTTGTTACAAACAACGGCAACAAGAGTTAACATTAAATTAGTTTTAAAAAAAATCCAGTTCTCGATCAAGGTACAATTGTCGATATCGATTTCCTTAAAGGATTTTCGACATCGAGTTTTAACACATAAACATCGGAGAAACAATTCAACTCGATTCAAAACAAACCATGAAAAAATTTACGGAAACTAAAAAATATTTTTGTCTCTATGACCAAAATTATTGAAGATAATCTCTCTTAATTGTTAAAAAATATATTCACATACTTAAACATGCATAAAACGTAACGAACTTATAATTAAACAGCAAAATCGTATTTGTTCATATTTTCCATTTCGCGACTACTAACGCCCCCTATGGGAATAACGGGCAGTTCCATTGTTTTATCAACCGAGCATTGTCATGGTGATTCATTTTATGTCAACATTTACTTCATTATTGTAAGCACATGAAATTGGTTTAAATATTTTCAGTCCAATATTAATTTATAAATTAAAAAAAACACTGATATTAAGCAAGTATAAGTTTAAGTGAGACAAATTTGTCTCGATTAATATTTCAATCATTCACGTTTGCGAAAATGTTTTCGACAATAATCACATCATAAAAACAGTTGACAGCCTATTTGATAGTTAGTTTTTGTTATTACTTCCATCCTATCTTCCTTATTTAAATCGAAAATATCTTAAATGCTAAAACAAAGCACATCTCTGTGACATGAAAGAGGTTATGTTCACGACAAACAAAAATACTAAGGCGTTTACCTTGTTTCATCTGAATTTTTGCTGGCGGGATCACTATTGCATTGCACTATTACATTCACAAACATATAAAACAGGTATTTTTGTCAAAATTCTAGTTTGCATCACAGAAATAACAAAATAAAACGGAAAACATTGAAAGCGGGCAAGAAGCGCGACACGAAACAGCAAGCAAGCAGCTGACCATAGCGCACGCCCGGTGTAACTTTGTGCAAGCGTCCCTTTCTATCCGATATTTTGGCGAATAAATTATTTTAACATGAAATTTAAAATTGAAAAGCATTTAAAATGTCTTGTTTTTTCTTGTATAAGAAAATTCTATTAATTTAAAATCTTAGATACAACTCATTGTTAGAATTAAAAGGAATTAAACAAATGTTAAATTGAAAAATAAAAATGTAAAATTAAAGTATTGAATTTATTATAATTAATATTAAATTACGTGACTGTGTTATTGTATGTTTATAAACAGAAATATTAAATGAAAAGTAATCGTCGTTAGGACGCTCTTACAAGGTTTGACATTTAGATGCGCAACGTGGAGGAGTAGCGTGGGTGCGCACCGGCTTCGCTGGCGTTGCCCTCTAGCGGACATATTGTGAATTATCGATTCTCCGCGTGCCGCCGCCCGCCATTGGCCCGGCTCAGTAATTGGTTTATGTTGCTCGTTCGTAACATGAATTCAAATTTAGCGCGCGCTGGGGCTCTCGAATGAACAGAGCCGAGTGTTTGTACAGAGGAAATTACCCGTTTCAGATAATAAAATCTAGTAAAATACTATTCAAACTTTGTTTTACTTCGAGTCCAATGTTCCATACGAATAAATTTACTTTGCGACCCGATGAATTTATGTTACTTCGAAATAAATGTTCCTTTCACCATAATTCATATGTAAAAAATAAGTTAAATTGTTAAAGTTATTGTGAACTTTATGACGTACTGATCTTGGGAGGTCTTGCGAAGATTAATATTAAACTATTAGATATTAGATGGTTTAAAAATACAATAAAATTAAAAAAATAAAGTCTTTTATTTTGTACAAAATAGGATTTTTACGATATATCATGTATTAGTTTCTTAGTAAAGAGTGGGTAAAGGGCCTTTTTTGCTCGCCTAGACAAACAATAATCTTGTTCTACATATGTCTGCTCATGATTAATAGTTAGAAGTAATAAAAATCAATACGTAATATTTCAAATAATTATTAATACATATTTAATAGAAGTTGTTTATCTATTATATTACAATGTAAGTACATAATATGATTTATTTTGTAGAGTTAAGCTACATACAACCTTCCGACGGGTGCTAAATTTGGCGGGTGGTAGCGGGCACTGATATTTATGCACGTTAATAAGGAGTCGCTGTGCACAAGGAGCCTACCTTAGCCTTTTACGTCTATGTGTTTGTATAAAATTTGCACACATACATGTTGTGTCTGAATAATTTTCATGATTGAAATAGATTTCAATCAAAATAATTGCTTTTAAATTATTTGTTACCTCTTTCTTAATATTGGTTGTCGCCCGCGGCTTCATGCGCGCGGGATTTAAAAATATATAGTAACCGATTCTTAGACCTACTGAATTTGTGTTTAAAATGTCATAAAAATCGGTTAAGCCGTTTCGGAGAAGTACGGTAAATAACATTGTGACATCATACGAGAATTTTATATATATAAGATAAAATTTTCAAAATAATGCTTTAAAGATTGTGAGGATTCAAATCTTTGTAAATAATCAAGTTGATAATTATTCAGGAAGTTGTTGCAATGGGCTAAAGAAGAATTAAGCACGGACACCTGGTTCGGTATTCTCTTTTTAATTTATTTTTAGCCGTGGAATTGCGAAACAAAACACCGCCCGAAAGAAAATCAGCGACCCGCGACTTTTGATTCTAAAACATTAACGGACCATAGAGCTCAAAACATTTCGTCTTTATTTTAATTCCGAGTTGTTTAAACTTTGGAATTTTTCTTATTCGTAATCAAATTGTTAAGATAAATTAATTGCTTGTTTATTTGAAAATTTGTAAGCAGTATTAAAACCAAGCTAAAATAATAAAATAATTTTGGGATATCACCTTCACGAGATTATATCTCTCGCGGGTTCGATTATATTTTGTGTAATTTCGAATAACCGTATTTAAAATATCTGCGTGATAACCGATGTATTTTACGTTATCAATTAGAAAAAATATAACTGTTTTTTATCTACTACGCTATTTTGTCATTGGATATGAAATAGTAGGAAGAAAAAAATATAACCGAAGTGTTTCTCTCCTTTCTTCTACGCTTATTATACAAACTTCCATTTACCTAGTTGAAAATGTGATTGTAAGGATACTAGGTTTATATAGTAAGGAATAATACATTTAAATAAGCCTTTATTGCTTTAAATACAGTAAATAGTTGAATGTAATTTATTTTCATTTAAGCTTCAAAAGTATCATTAGTCCAGCAATTTGAAATGTAAACTCTAGTAATAAAGGATACGAAAACTCGCGACTAACTAGTAGTTTTGGAAACGGGTACGCAAACAGGAGCAAATGAGATGTAGCTAGTAAATTCAGCCGGCGGGTAGTTGTGAATTTTGCACGGGGCCTGCATTATGCGGCGCACGTAGCGCGCTGTCTGCACGCGGCGCGGGGCGGCGTTGCGGCGCGGGCGCGGGGCGGCGCGCTGGCTGCGGCGGACGCTTGCGTGCTCCTCTATCACCGAACCTCATTTATTATTTAAAACCCGGTGTACCGGATCGTACATACAGCCACACGTGAACCTGACTTCTCTAAGTGTTTCCCTTCATGACAAATCGACGCTGCCGAGACACTGCCTTTACGATTCATAATTCACTATAGGGATGTTTGAACCGTTAGCGCTCCAGCTAGAAAAATATTTAATTCGCAAAGCAATCTCCAAAGAGGCAATGGGAAAAGGATTCCGAGCATATTTATCGTTGGTGTCTAAACAGTTTCTCGGGTAATTCGGTACAAGCAGAGCGACATTATTTTTGTAGTAATTTCACCGAATGTCCTTTAAAATATTCAGAGCGCCATAGCGGAGCACATTAACGTGCTCGGGCGCAATTGGGAGCGGGGACTCGTCCGCAAATGGCGGCGATATCATTAACGTGACCCCTGCAACTATCCGTCTACCCGCAACTTTTTACCAATATTACACCGGGGAGGTGCTCGCTATAAAATGTCCGCTCTGCTGTTCCTTTATACTATTCTTAATATATTTCTCTACAGCATAAATAATTAAAATAAATCAATTCTGACCAATGTAAAATTGTCGATACTTTGTTCTGCAGAAAAGAAGCGAGTTACTACGATTTAGTATTTGAATTACTGAAAACAAAGAAGGAAAATTTTAATATCTCTTAAATATTCTGTTTCGTTTAATTTGCACTTATTTAATACAAATAATGTAAAAGTAATCGTAAAACAGTAGAGTTTTAGAGTAAAATAGATCACATCGAAAACAATATAAAATTTTAACAAGAATAGAAAACTCCTATTCCGGCTACACGAAATATGTGATGCGATTTTAAGATAGGTGTACGGAATTCCTAACTAAAGTTGTGCGGTCGGATTTCTCAGCTAAAGAAATAACGGCGAAAACTCACTAGGTCTGAACAGACGCATACCAGAGTGGCGCGGTTCTTTCAGATATGCAGAGCAAATTATAAGGCGCTTCACGAGCCACTGCGCAAATTTGAATTTATGAACTTTTACTCGAAAACGCGTTTACATTCTTTGCACTATTAAGGTGCTGTGTTGTTAAGTTGTGATTGTCGCTTTGTTACAATTTAAAGTGTAGTCCGAAGAAGATCAAAAACTTTACCAAACCGGCTCCTGTCCTGAAATAGATGAAGTTCTTGACATTTCTTAAAACCTACCCCCTAAGACCTATCACCTCCACAAATATATTTCATAACTAGAGTGCACATTTAAATATTTCTTCAGTCTTAAATATCGTTGTTCAGCCTTGAGAGTTTTTTTTTGTAATAATTTTAATATCGTAAATATTTGTTTTAACACTAATTGCTATTGCGGCCTTTCATGCTCACATAGTGGGTTAAAAATGCAGCCCTCGACCCCCACAATTCACCCCTCGCCACCTAAGAAATTGTGTTCGCCGGCGAGGGCCCGTACTCTTAATTTGAAAATATTGCTTACTATAGAAACAGTCGGCTTAAGTTTCATCGGTGAGTTAGGTACGTAACTGACACCTAGATGCTGTTTTCTTTAATGAAATCTTGATTGTTTGCATGTCTTTTTTAATGAATTGTGTTAATTTTTCAGAATTTTTCATTTAAGATTTACATATTTATTAAAGATCATCTCTTAACTGATGCGTGTTTTCTTTCTAGGTACCGCCTAAATCCAGACCCGACTTTAGAATACCGTAAATATGTATGTCCCATCCTGTAGAAGAACCTAAGGCGGGTTTGAAAGTAATCTGTACGTTAACCGATATACAAGTGAGTCAAGTTTTAATTTATTAATGTAGTATTATTTCAAAAGAAAGTTTTAATAAGTAATACATCCTTAATATGTAGAAATAAGGACGCGGAATGTTTCAGTGAAATTGTAAGCGTCACACGTCTTAAGTTACACAGATGGCAATCGACGGGGCGGACCATAAACTTCTACTCTAGTGTCAAGCGCGTTATATATTAGTCTCAGTAATTTAAAGTTACTTGCGGCCTCGCAAATAAGCGAGGGTTTTCGGACCGCAACCGGGCCCACCCATGCCAAATTACAGAGTGTCAGCTCGACTCAAGTAACCTGTTGCCTTTACATTTACTCTCTACATTTTCCTAACATACGTTGGAAATTATTGTTCACTTGCTATATTAAAACTTAACTTTTAACCGCAGTGAATCATCACTATGTTATCTGAGTAAATAAAATAATAGCTTTTCTGTTTTAAAACATATTCGGAACGTGTAAATGCCGCGAGGCCGTTGATGCATAGATATAATTTGGGATAGAGCAGTCTGAATTCTGAGCTCGTTTTCCAGTGAGGATGTAACACTGTTGCCTTGCCGTTTCACATTGAAATTTCTTTCTTTCCGAGCACATATCTCGACTTCGACCGAGAATCTACTTTGCATTTCTCATCCTAATGGCCATCGAGAGAAAATTGGAAAAGAAGTTTCCTTGCTCGCATTTCTATTT